GCCGCTCAGAGCACGTCGTGAGCCCCTGAGGCGGGAAGCAAAGCTCTTGGCTGCCATCTTGGCCTTTTTCCCACCGCGCATGCGCACAGCGGGCGCGTCGGCCCAGGGCTCGCGACACGCATGCGCGGAGCCCCGAGCACAGACGCTGCCTGCCCGGGGCCTCCTACGCCCCCTGGTGACCAAGTCTGGGACTCCAGGTACCCACGCCCACCCATCCCCATTCCTGTCCACTGACCGAGGCGCGGGCGCAGGGACAGATGGACGCCGGACGCCTTGAGGGCTTAGGGGCGTGCATGCACAGTCTCGAGAAGAAAATGCCTTTAAATCCATGTTACAGGTGGGCAAACCACACCCAAGATCCCAACTCACGTCTGATGTCAAAGCCTGTGCCGAGACGCCTGGCTTCAAAGTTACATTGTATAGACACATCATTACTTTTTAAAAAATTAGGGAACCAGGGAACCAGCAGTTGGCGTAATGGCTATGTCGCTGGACTCGCACGTAGTCGACTGCGGTTCGCGTCCCGGATCCAGTGGCTTAAAACTCACGCCGGCGTGCCCAAGATCCCGAGACGAGAATGGAGGAGTAAGGGATTGCAGCGTGACCATCAGCCCTGGGGGATGATTTCTCACTTTCTGTCTCTCTGTCTGGCCAGTGTGCCCTACAGCGAAAAAAACCTCTCCAAAAACAAAATTATTATTTTATTTAACTTTATTTATTTTTATTTAACCAGAGAGGGACAGCGAAAAAGCAAGCTGCCAGATCTGGGACTCAAACCAGCTCAGCCATGTGGGAGTGCCAGGTGGTGTGGTGGTTAAGGGCACTGGACTCCCGCATGGCCGGCCACCGTCTGAGTCTGGACCTGGTAGCCTGCTTTCTCACGTGCACTCACTCACTCACTCTGTCCCTCTCTGATCAAATTAAGATAAATAAATAAAGTTAAATACAATAATTCTTTTTTTTTAAAGCTGACACCTATAAGGCATTTAGGGAAGTACCTGAGGCATGTCATTAAGTATGTCAGTCAGTGTTCTGTGCATGTCCGTGATTTTTCAGCCATCTCCACATTTTTTGTCCTGAGAGAATGTGAAAACCAGGGGCTACCAGGTGGTGTGGTGGTTAGGGGTGCTGGACTCCCACATGGTCAAAGCTTGCATTCTCACTTTCTGTCTCTTGTACTCTGTCCCTCCCTGGACAAATTAGAATTAATTAATTAATTTAATAATTCTTTGAAAAATATATAAAACCCAGACAGCTGACAAAGAAAACAAGGACTTTCATATTTCACAAACTCTTTTAAAGGAATTATTGAACTGTATTTATTATTTTTTTAATTCTCTAGAGGGTATATGTGCTCACCAGAGACAGAAAGGGAGAAAGCAAGCCTCCAGGTCCAGGACTCAAACCGTGGTCAGCCATGTGGGAGTCCTGTGCCTTAGCCACCTTGCCACCTGCTGGCCCCATCTACATCACGAACTCTTAGTCACAGAGAAGTGAGTCTTGCACCACCCTGGAGCCTGGTGGTTAAAGGAGCTGGATCCCACATGGCTGACCGGTTTAAATACTACCCCAGCAGCTTGAAAAACACACCAGGCACATGCGTGTGCATGCCCAGTATCCTGAGAGGCTGCAGAGGTGGGAGAGGGGTGGTGCTGTAACTAGGCCCCATCAGGGGGTGCTTTCTCGCTCTCCCTCTGTTTCTGTCTCTCTCGGGGGAGTGCATACACCCTCTGACAATTAAAAAAAAAAATCACTGGGTCTTCATTTTGCAGCAAAATCCCCAGCATTCTGTGTAGTCTTAGTTCTTTGCAGAGCCTTCACATTTCCCAGGTCTTAACTAACTGGTAGGCGTTCCTCCCGTCTGACTCCAGTGATGAGCCACTCCGCAGCAGGCCATCTTTAACCACCACCTGGAGAGGTGTAGACGTCGTCCTGACACTCACAGGAATACCGCTGGTGAAATCGCACGCTATAATGCCAGGTCGCCTCTGACGCTGAGAGGCTGAGCTCAGCCACCTGGCGTTCTTTAGTGGCCTTTTGCATTGCTACTCTGTCCAGGTAACAAAGCCGACCTATAAAACTCTGGCTCTGTCCACCGCGTCGTGTCCTGCTAAGTGGACACAGGAACAGATGCGTCTGGTCTTGTCCTGAACAAAAACAGAAAAGCCAACCCGCGCGTGCAGACCTGCCGTGTCATCTCAGCTTCCCATGCTCCTGAAGCCCATGCACATCCTGCCTTTCCAAAGCAGGGCTGCTCATTTCCTTCAGGATCCTTCCAGGGAAGCCCCGGTTGAGAGAGAGGTTTTTGCTCTAGGACACGTGTGCTAGCCAGAGAGACAGACAGAAAGTGAGAAATCACCCCCCACTCCCAGGGTGGGAGGGCCACGCTGCAACCCCTTCTTCATTCTCCCCTCAGGATTTTGGGCGCACACGTGCCCGGTGGGAGTTTGACACCAGTAGGTCCAGGACTCAAACCGCGGTCAACTACATGGGAGTCCAGTGACATAACCATTTCACCATCTGCTGGTCCCTCCAGTGAAGCTCTTTTGGTCTAAATGTTTCTGTCCCTTGCAACTTAAGAGTGTTCTGACCAACACTACCTGACAATACTGGGGCTTGTCAGGCTTCAGGGTTACGTTGACAACTTCCAACGCTGTTTCCTAGTACGTGGTCACTGAGGAAGTCAGTTCTTGGGCCGGCCCCTGAGCACAGCAGTTAAGCCCTACACAGAGAGGTGGATCCCACGTGGTGAGTTTGAGTCCTGGCCCCACAACTTGAAAAACATGCCTGGGATGTGTGCATGCATGTCTAAGACCCTACTGGGGTGCAAACATGGAGGACAAAGGATTGCAGCGTGACCACGTCCCTCTCCTGTGACCAGTGCGCCTGCTCTCAAGCAATACGTATCTTGAGGCCCTTCCACCTGCCAGGCAGTGTGCTAAATACTTAGAAGAAAATCATAGATCCCTTCCCCTCATCCAGAACGTGTACGTGGAAACTGCTGAAGCCCATGCTTGGCCCCAAGAAGTCAAGACTTGGAAGGGCTGCCCGACTCTGAGGAGGGAAACTTGCTCTGGGCTGCTCTGCCCACCTGTGAGATGGAGGAAGTGGACCACCAGTTTTTGTATTTTCTGGGGGGTGGAGATGTTTTTGCTATAGGGCGCGTGCACTTGCCAGAAAGAGAGAGACGGAAAGCAAGAAATTACCCCCCGCCCCGGAGAGATGGCCACATCGCAATCCCTTCTCCTCCATTCTCCTCTCGGGATCTTGGGCATGCACACACACGCGCCTGGCGTGAGTTTAAGCCACCGGGTCCAGGACTCGAACCACAGTCGACTACATGGGAGTTCAGCAACATAGCCATTATGCCAACTGCTGGTCCCAAAAAAGCAATTTTTATGCGGTACAGAAAGCAATGAGGCAATTTCTGAAACTTTGCTGTTTTCTTTCTTAGGTATTAGATGTCATTATTTTATTATTGATGAATCATATTTTCATTTAGTGAGATTAGGTCAGGAACTACCAAAATGTGAGAACTGACTTACTGATTCAGATCTAGAGACTCCATAGCAATTTCTTTAAAGCATTATTCATTATTTTTAAATTTTCTATAGGAAACATGTACTCACCAGAGAAAGGGAAAGTGAGACAGGAAGCCACTGGGTCCAGGACTTGAACTGTCAGCCATGTAGGAGCCCAGCGCCTTAACAACCGTGCCACTGTAACTATTTTTTTTAATTATTTAATTTTATTATTATTTTAAAATTTGCTATAGGGCACATGCGCTCACCAACGACAGAGAGAGGGAAAGTGAGAAAGCAAGCCACCAAGTCTGGGACTCAAACCATGGTCAGTCATGTGCGGGTCCAGCACCTTAACCACCACACCACCTGCTGGATGCATCCTGTAACTGTTTTTCTTAGAATTATTTCATTTACTTTTATTTACTATTATTATCCAATTCAACCAGAGAAGGAAAGAGAGAAAACAAGCTACCAGGTCCGAGACCTGAACCACAGTCAGCCATGTGGGAATCCAGTACCCCTAACTACCATGCCACCTGCCAGCCCCCCATAACTAGCTCAGCAAGTGATCCCCGGTACTCAGGCAACTTTGGAGACAGCAGAGCTCGTACTTCGTATCCTGAATACAACTTATTTCCAAGCCTTCTCTGACCCACGTAACAGAGCGCTGCTCAGAACTGTCTGTAAAGCACAGGACTGAGGAAGCGGGGTGGCAGAATCTCGGAGACTGGGAAATCTCGGAGTTTAGGAACTTCTGTGTAACTTACTGAGTCTCAGAGCAGTCCATTTAGAAGACATTGGAGGCCCCCTCCAGGGTGTGAACACTGGGAGAAACCGAGGCCCGGGCTTAGTTTTCTGAAGAACCTGATTGATACAAGCAGGTCTGTCAAGTGGGACACAGGGCCGTGGCCTCCCAGTCACTCTGCTGTGAGCAACAGCATGGGAGCTGATCAACTCACAGGCCGACTGAGCCAGCCCTGCGACCCAAGATCGTGCTGTTTCCCGTATTTCTGATTCCCACGAAGACACATGTCAAGCCCCTCCCGTGGGACGAAGATAGACAACAGGGTTGCTTTATTATGATTTTATTTTCATATACAAAAAGATAAAACTTGAAATAGTTCTAGATTTTTCCTCCTATCCTGTTGGGGTGTGGCTGCTTCTTCACACGGGGGGGGGACTACATTCACATCGGTTTATCTGAGGACCCAGTGCAGAGTTCAAGCAGCAAAACCCCAACTTAGCAGATCTAATTTCAAACTTGACACGCATTTCTAAAATTACCACAGGAAAAAGGAACAAAGATCCACTGCAAATGAATGAACTATGATACAATGTTCTTGCCAAAAGGTTTTCATTTTGCAACTGTAATTACATGAATGTCTGCTTGAGGCCATTTCAGGATTGTGTGCGTGTGTGTGTGCGCGTGTGTGTGTGTGTATTATATATATAAAAATCAGCACACTTTTCAAATCCAGACAGGGTAACAGCAACAAGCTTAACTCTGAATATATATATATTTTTTTTTCTTTAACATGA